GCTGAGGAGGGCGCGGGCTCCAGGGTCCCCAAAACACCTTTCTGGTTTCCAGGGGAGACTTGTGGGTTTGTTGGCAAAGCCTGCTTCGGTGATGCCCTTCTGCCTGGTAGTCACGCTGTTTGCCTGTCTTCCCAAGGCAAATATCAATGCTACCTTGAGATTTCGGGATATTAGACTGGAACAAAAAGAATTGATATGAAATGAGAAAAGGGATCATTCAATTTCAGAAAATATCAGATGTGGTTTGACGTCCAGTTCCCTAATTCCAGACCTGATTCTCTGTTGTCAGCTGCAAGAGCGGGGACCGGTGGGGGGACCCTGGTAGACCGGTGTCTCTTCCTGGGGCTGCGGTAGCAGACCACACAGCAGAGGTCCGCTCCAGGCGTCTCCTTAGCTTCTCCCTGTGTCCTCACATTGTTTCCTCTGCCAGTGTCTGTCTGTGTCCAAACGTCTTCTTTGTGGAAGGACACCAGTCATCTTGGACCAAGGCCCACCCTAATGAGCTCATCTTAACTAACTACATCTGCAACGGCCCTATCTCCAAATAAGGTCACATTCTGAGGTTCTGGGGGATTAGGACTCCAACATGGGGATTTTTTTTTGGGAGGGGGACACAATTCAACCCCAAAGTATGTATAATCTGGTTTGCGGGACTTTATTGGAATGACAACAGAGATAAAAATATTGGAGAGAGTTTTTTGCTGCACAGGAGAATGGTGTGTGTGTGGGGTGTGTGTGTGTGTGTGTGTTTTGTGTATGTGTGTGTGTGCAGTTAATTTTAACGTCCCTAGGCCTCCGTCTCCCTGTCTGTCCGATGGGCGCGTCCTTCCACCGCCTGATGCTCTGACTCTGGTTTCACAGGTCACCAGTGCCCTGCAGCCACTGGACACCACTGTCCACCACTTGCACTCGGCCGGGGGGGACACCTCGATCACGGTGTCCCGGCTGCTCCTGGGTCTGCCGCAGCCAGAGCCTGTGGCCCGCATCTCTGCGGCGCTGGATGGCGTGGTGAAACGCATCTATGAAGTGATTGACATCCGGGTGCAAGGTGCTGCTTCCCTTTGTTGTCCCCTTGGGGGCGGGGGCCGCTGGAGTGGGAGAATCATCCAGTAGGTGAGGGGCGGTCAGACCCACCGTTAGCTCATCCCAGCCCGGAGTTTAAACTCCAAGTTCCGAAGCCGAGATTTTGAGAACTCGTTCTGTGCTAGCATCCCCTTCCCCTTCCCTCCTTCCAGCCTCCTCCTAAGCCTCTCATGTCCAGTTTCTCCTTCCATCCAGGTGGAGGCTGGAGAACAAATCCTAGAACAGCACACAAATAACCCATTTGCTCAGTTCTTGGGTTCCCAAATTTCCTTGTGGCCTCTTTCCCACCCTCGCTAAGGACATCCTTACATCTCGAAGGCTCTTAAAGCAGAGTTGGCACAAATCTGAGTTTGGTGCAGCAGATAGATGTGTTTCTGGAAGAAATTACCTGGCTTTTCTTTTCTTTTTTTTTTTTTTTCTGTCCATGTCAGGGTTTGGCAAACTTTCTGAAGAAGGCCAGATAGTAAATATTTTTGGTTGTGGGCCACATGGCCTGTTTCAACAGCTCAGCTTTGCAAAGTGGCATGAAAGTAACCTTGGACAATCCGTGAGCAGACGGCTGGGCTCCAACAGCACTTTTCTTCCCGCTACAGAAGGCAGCTGGAGTTTGCTGCACCCTTAGGAGGATGGCCGCTCTCGTGAGGCAGCTCCTTCTATGACGCTGAAGGCCACACAGAAAGATGCCAGGGTCTGGAGCCCAGGGAAAGCTCTAATGATGGCATTTAATTCCCTTCCACTCTACAAATGTTCTTGAAAACCAAACCGAGCAGCGCCCATAAGCCAAGTGCTTGTCTCGTCTGTTCTGACAGGTTTCCGTCTGGAGACCCTAGAAACTCCCCAGCAGGTGTACAAGGAGGGGTTATCTCACGAGGCAGCGAGAGAGAAGGCATGCTGCAGGGCCCGCGGGCGCGTCCGCGGGAGGGTGTCAGAGAGAATCCGTTATGGGGTGCGGCTCTGATTGGGTGGCTGAGGAGAGGGAGGGGTAAGGGAGTGGGGCTTGTTCTAGGTTGGATGCTGTCAGAAAGCAGAGGCAGTTCTGTGATTGGGTATTTCAATCAATCTCATCCAAGGGGAGGGGTAACCAGCATGAAGACGAGCTAGGATTAGTAAAGAATGAACAGCCCCTCATTGCGGCCAAGAGAGCGGTTGGTGCTTGGTGGGTGACGGTGGCCTTTTTTTCCCGTCTGGCTTAGATAAAATGGTGATATGGCCTTGCTCTGTCCTGGCGGCAGAGAAGCCTGGCTTCCTGTTCTGGGCAGGTGCACCTGCTCGACAGGAGAGGGCCAGGCCCCTTCTGCAGGTCAGGGGCTGCTCTGCCCTATTTCTCCATCCATACACTGCCGTCCACAGGATAGATGCTTGGGGAGGATGTCTGGACCTCATGATTTCAGACTCAACACAGCCCCAAAGTGATCTGCTCGGGCCACAGCGCCCACCCAAGCACATGGAACTGTGCCTTGAGCCGTGGGCCAGCTGCTCCGGTGAAGAGGGTTGTGACCGATGGGGCCTCTAAGGCAGGGCATCAAGAGGCCCCTGGGGACCGCGGCCCAAACCACTTCCTCAGCTCGTGTGATACACATCTGGAGGTTAATGGGAAGGACCGATGGCCCTGATGAGTATTCTCACCTGTTCTCCTTTCCCACAGACGTAGACGAATGTTCCTATGACGAACTCAATGCCTGCACTGGGAGGGGACGGTGTCTAAACATGGAGGGCTCGTACCAGTGCCTCGGTCACCCGGAGTCACCCACCTCATCCCCCCAGAAGCTGGATGGCAGCTGTGAAGGTGAGCGACCGGGCTCTCCAGGTGGGGAAGGAAGGCCTTAAGGAAGCCTCAGTTGAGATGCAGACACACCTTATCCCCTTTGGCCTCTAGAATTCTCTCTTCTTTCTGGAACCTGATTTATGGCTTTAACAACATTGTTACGGGAGTGCAAGGATAAGTCGCTCCCAGTCTCAGCACCGTGGCAAATTGTTTTTATTTTCTCCTGTTTCCTTCCAGGTTTTTTTTTGACCTTATTTAAATCCTGCCACATATTCAATTTTGTATCTTGCTATCTTCACTTCCCATTATGTCATGTAAAGCTTTCCAAGAAGCAACTTTGTCTTCATAATTACGATTTTCAATGCTTGAGTAACAGTGGTATGCTATAGCAGGGATACAATGCTCTTAGCTATTTCCCTCGTGGGGGACTTGTATGTCACCTCCAACATTCCTCTCTGAAAACTACAACTTTCGCTAGCATTGTGAAGTGGTTGGGGAGAATCTTGTTATAACTGAGTTTGAATAAATTAGTGATTTAATCCTCATGTTCTTTTCCCTTTAAGGGGAGAGGGGTGATTGAGTGGTGGCTATTCCTAAGGTCTCTGGAGTTTCAAAAATGCACCTACCAGCCCCACCTCTGCAACCAGACTCGCCTGTCCTGTGCCTTGGGGGCTTTGTCCGACTAGAACTGTGCTTCTCCTCTGTGCATGATGTACCCACAAAGCTTTGCACAGAATCCCAGCAGACCGTCCTAGATCTCCTGCGCTGTGGCCTCAGGGGGGTGCAACCTGACCCGCAATGTGAACAGAAGTTTGGAATATACAGTTATTGACAATACTCTGCTCAGTTATCTGAAAAGACATCAGACTCTGTTCACAGGCAGGAGTGTTGCCAAACTGCCACGCTGACAGCTGAACGTAAACAGGGAAAGCGCACCACCCCGACCTTAGTTCCAACAGGGCAGAAAAGACAAAGCCGGTGTCTCCCGATCAGAAAATTAGAGTGAATTCCAATCGCATATGGCGAAGGGAAACAGCACATGTTTTAAATTTAGAAGCTAATATAATAAATGAGCTATCTGCTGGAATGGGTTAGAGGTACAGACCCGTGGAAAATACAGCGCAAATTTCAGATGCTTTTCTTGTGAAATTAGTCACCCAGTTAATGACACACAGGGCAGCTGGATTCTTGCACAAAAAAACCCCCTAAGAAATATTGCCCAGTTTGCACTTCATGTTCCAGGAACACGTTCTGCTTTTAGGATGGAGTGGAATTGTATTCAAGGGTCATGCTAACTCCCTCCGAGATGGTCCCCTACCCAGCTGAAGCCTGATAGCTATTCAGCTCCGTAAAGAACCATCTTCTGAGGTGGCTGCTTGGTGAGGGCAGGGCCGCTGCTGGAGCGTCCACTAGGCTGCCAAGGATTACCGCTCAAGTTCACAAACCTGATCTATAATCAGGTTTTCAACGACTGAATGCTCAGCATCTTGGCTCAAATGCCCAGTGTTTCTACCTTTACAAGGTTCAGGTGTCCAGCTGACAGGTCCAGGGCTTAAGGAGGAGCAGAGACTGACACGGGAGATCACGGGAAAGGCCACTGCCCCAGCAGCACCCTTCCTGTCCCACCAGACACAGGTCAGGGCTGCCTGGAAGGAACAAAGGCCCAGACCCGTGGACACAGAGAATCTGACATGCTTCCCTCAGATCAGTGTCGACTCCTGAATTCAGGTTCACAACCGTAGCCCGGGGAGGGCCACAGGGCAGTGGCACCCTGGGATCACACACAGTCAAGAATTGTGTTTATCTTCTGGGGCCACATTTTCAGAGGGAGGGACGTTGCAAAGCCAAACGGCAGTGACAGAAAGCGTCCTGGCCAATGAACTGAAATCCAAGTCAGAGGGAAGAAGGAAGGGTGAGGGAAGAAGGAAGGGTCAGGAAAGAAGGATCATTTCCAGCTTAGAGTATCTCAAGTTCTGTTCTCCAGAAGAGGGCCTAGCCTTAGTCCGTCAGAAGGTGGCTGATTTTACAGCAACACAAATAACTTCCCAACAAGTTGTACCGTCTCACCATTAGCTGCCTTGAAAACTACTTAAAGAAGCGTGGGTAGGTGGATTCATTTCCTGGGCCTGTGTAACAAAACAGCACACACTTGGGGGTTTAAAACAACAGAAGTTTATTCTCTCACAGCTCTGGAGGGCAGAAGCCCACCATCGTTATCAAGTCCAGGTGTCGGCAGGGCCAGGTTCCCTGCGGAGGCTCTAGGGCAGACCCCTTCTTTGCCTCACCCTTCTTCTGAGGGCTGCACGAATCCCCTGGCTCGTGGCCACTTCGCTCCCATCTTCAAGGCCAACATCTTCAATCCTCTCTCTGTTCCCTTTTCATGTGGCCTTCCCTTCTGTGTGTACACGTGTGTCCTCTCTCCCGACTCTCTCTTGTGATCGCGTTTAGGGCCCACCTGGATAATCCAGGACAATCTCTTCTTGAGAGCCTTAACTTCATCGCACTTGCAAAGACCCTTTTTCCAAACAAGGTCACATTTCCAGGTTCCAGGGATTAGGAGCTGCTATCTTTGGAGGTCATTACCCAGTCTATTGCCGGTGGTGGGACAGTTTAGGCGTACAGCATGGGAACTTTGTCATTAGTTATTGGATGGCTTTGCCATTTACTCTCGACTTGACCTTTCTAGGCCTCAGTTTCGTCCTCTGTAAAATGGGATCATAGTAGAGTAGAACCTATTACCTGGTATTGTTAGAAGGGCTGTGTGGAATGACATGCCCGCTGCCACAGCACTCAGCCGACGGCAGCTCTAAGTGTGTCACAGATAGCCTGGCTGGCAGCGTGATGCATGTAGTGGGAGGGGGTGCCCATAGCGCCGTGGGTGTCCTCACAGCCCCGTGTCCCCACTGCTGCTACGACACTGGCCACGCTGGCTTGGACATCCCATGTGTGTGTCTGGCATCGCTGTGGACCTTAATCCATCCTTGTTTCCATCACTGTGCTGGATACATAGTAGGTGCTCAATAAATGTCAAACCGTATGAAATTGCCACTGTGGTTGGTCAAACACGGTTGAATCCGGACAATTGTAAACGTCTCAAGGTAATACATTGGAGAAAGAGCTACACAAATGCTCGGCTGTAGCATTCCCCGCAGGGAGGACTTATTTCTATGGATGAGAGGGCCACACGCCCACAGCGCCTTAGCTGCAGGAACCATGGGCAGACAGCAGCTTCCGCAGATGCTTCTGAGGGTTTCATAGGCATCGAAACGACCCCATTGGTGGCTCCTTAGCCCAGTGTTCTAGGGACCCTCTGGCGTCTTAATTTTAACAGTGAATATGTCTCCAGCCAGCCTGATACCCTCTCAGACTTCCTAAACTCCAGTCCCGGGGTTCTTTCCAACACCTAGGGGACCCTTCCTATTTTAATTCCCCTCAGCCTGGAGGCACTCGTGCTTGTAAAGGGCCACACACAGGCCCATAATACGGATTCGTTTGCCGTTCCACATCGAGTGGTGCCTGAATGGCAACCAGGACCTGGGGCTGCAACCTTGTTGCGAGCTGGATGCGGCTGCCCAGGCCTCAGGCCTCGTTCTCAGCTTCACTGTCCTATTTGCCAGGCGTCGTGTGGCCACCTGCGGGATTGAAAGAATGTTGGGTGTTGTGTGGTTTGCGTGAATCAGAACAATGAGTGCTTTTAGCAGATTTTTAGAAAAGTTGTAGCTTTTCCTTACTTTCTCAGTGACACATTCCTGGGGACAGAGACCGAAAAGTTACGTGGTTATTAGACCCCCAGAAGGTGATTGTCTTGATTTCATGGTCCCAGTGGCCGGGAGGTGGGGGTGAGACCCACGGTCTCAGGGCCTGAGCTGCTGTCCAGTCCTCAGCTGAAACAAAGGACAGTGTCGTAAAGAGTGAAAACCACCTGTGAGACAAAGGCACAGAAAAATACTGGACAATTCAGTGAAAAGGACAAACGCGTCTCCTTCAAAGTACACGCTACCTCTGCATGCAAGGAGAGTTTTCAGGAAGCTGCAAGAATTTAGATGGAGGGAGGGTTGGGCTCACCTTTCTCTCCAGCATCCACCAGTTTAGATCCGTGCTTTGCGGGGACCTGCAGGGGCTCACGGTAGGGGAGCACATCCACAGGGCACTGCCATCTCTAAAGGGCAGCTCAGGGAGGACCCAGCAGGGCTGAGCTGCAGGATGAGGGTGGGTCACCAGTCTTGATCCTGAGCCTCTTGGCAGCCAAGGCCAAAAGGGAAATGTGTTGAATTGTGCCAATTTTAATTTTTACTGAAAGGAAGCGTACACATTTGTCGGAAAGACAATATTTTTTGTAATATTAGAAAGCATATATCCTATGAATCCTTACAGGAAGGGCTTTGGAAACTTCACATATATTTTAATTCTTTTTTCTTTACTGTGGTTTTGCAAAAGATTTTTTAAAAAGTCTCCTCATCACTTGTTTCTTATAGAAATCAAATTCTGCTGTAAAAATGGTGGTGTCTATAGACTGAGGGCCACCCTAGACTTTGTATAATTCATATTGGCCAGGTGCCTGCTGTGAAGCCAGAATTTTTCTCCCCAAAAAAGACATTTAATTCCATCTGAGCATTAAAGTACATATTGGTTGTTATATTTGAGTATTACTCCCTAAAGCATGAATGTCGATATGAAAACACAGGACACCTCAGCCTGACTCCGGAGTCCTGCTTCCCCATGGGCCATTGTTTTGGTGATGAATTAGCCGAGCAGAAGACCTCGGGCAAATGATCAAGTACTTGTGACTCAGAAGAGCAGGCCCTTTGAATCTGTGTTGAGATAGCATTTATAAACGTAGCCCAGAAACATCACACCATGCGTTAATCTGCTCAGGCTGCCGTAACACACCCCACAGACTGGGGGGCTTAAACAACAGGAAGTTACTCTCTCACAGTCCAGAGGCTGGAAGTCCAAGAGCAAGGTGTTGGCAGGCTGGTGCCTTCAGAGGCCTCTTGGCATGCAGACGGCCGTCTCCTCCCCGTGTCCTCATGTGGTCCTCCCTCTACCTGGCTGTGTCCTCATCTCCTGTTCTATAAGGACACGAGTCAGGTTGGATTAGGGCCACCCTGATGACCTCACTTTAACTTAACAAGTTCTCTAATGACTTTGTCTCCAAACACGGCCACATTTTGAGGCACTGGGGGGTTAGGACCCCACACACGAGTTTTAGGGGAACACAGTTCAGCCCATCACACACCATAATGACCACAGCTACAAAAACAGCTTGTTGTTTTCATGGCTTGGCTATTGTAAATAATGCTGTAATGAACATGGGGTGCAGGTATCTCTTTGAGTTAGTGATTTTGTTTCCTTCATATAAATAACTAGGAAAGGAATTGCTGGATCATATGGTAGTTTTATTTTTCATTTCTTGAGGAACCTCCATACCGTTCTCTATAGTGGCTGTACCAATTTACATTCCCACCAGCTGTGCACGATGTTCCCTTTTCTCCACACCCTCTCCAGCATTTCTTATCTCCTGTCTTTCTGATAACAGCCATTCTAGCAGGTGTGAGGTGATACCTCACTGTGGTTTTGATTTGCATTTCCCAGATGGTCAGTGACGCTGAGCACATTTTCACGTGCCTGTTGGCCATCTGTGTGTCTTCTCTGGAAAAGCGTCTATTCAGATCCGTTGCCCATTTTAAAATGAGATTATGATTATTGCTTTTATTTTTGCTAATGAGTTGTATGATTTTCATATATTTTGGATATTAACCCCTTATCAGATATATGATTTGCAGATTTTTCTCCCGGTGTGTAGGCTGCCTTTTCATTTTGTGGATGGTTTCAAGCGGGACCGAAGCTTTTCACTTTGATGTCGGCGCACTTGTTGACTTTTGTTTCTGTTGCTTCTCTCTGACGTTTTCTGCGTCTTCCTCCTTCTGCCCTTTTGCAGACTGCCCTCCCATCAGAGACCTCGTGGTCCTCAACGTCACCAGCAGCAGCTTTCGAGTGTCTTGGAGTTTAAATTCCACCCAGAACTGCACTTTCCAGGTGCAGGTTTACCAGGCTGAGGAGCTGCTCAGGAACGCCAGCACCCGGGGGACGAGCCTGGAGGTGGCTGGGCTGGAGGCCGGAGTGCTGTATGCGGTGAGGACCAGCTACCAGGGGTGCTGGGCCAACGTCACCACCGCGGTCACTGTCAAGACCGGTAAGGCCACATGTCTGAAATCCACACGACCTGTGAGTCTGTCTCTCCAGCCTAGTCTGCTGGCCCTGGTGATTCCAATCACACGCTTCCTACGAGCAGGAGAGGGGCCGTCACTGACCTGGCCCCAACTCTCCTGGGGGGCAGTGAGCGTGCTCTGTGTCCCGGAGCAGTGCCACGGTGCTCGTGGCCAGCACAGGCTCCCCTTGCTCCCCTGCGCCTCATCCTGACTGGGGGCTCTTCTGACATCTGGGGTGATGAGGGCTCTGTGAAGATCCCATCTTGCTGTGGTTTGAAGGACACATAATGCAGTCAGATAGAGTGAAGCCCAAAGTATAGTAGAGCAGAAGAGGGTAGCAGTTCGCACGCATCGAAGGGACTTTTGCCACACTTAATTCCACACAGCTGAGTCTGTATAACTTCCCCAAACCCAAGAGCTGAGCATCTGTAAGATCTTCACGAAGTATGCCTCATTTCCCATGCCGTGCACTTGCAAAGCTAACACGATGCCCACTGCATCGGAGCCCTGAAGAAATTTTTGCCCCAAATAAACACAGCGTAGGCATGAATTGGGGATTCCAGTGTCCAGGAGGCAGCTGGCGTGACCCACGTGACTCTGCCGGGTGGCCAACACTGGCCCTGCCCCGTGATGCCACCTCCCCTCTGCCTGGTCGTGGTGCTACCCCGGTGGTGTAGACCTCTCTCAGGTTCGGCCCGGGGAGTTCCCTCCTAGGCTGGCCTCTGGCAGCGGGACATGGAAGTGTGCGTACGGACAGTGTGGCTCTGAGACATTCTGGTATGGGGACCGGAGTAGCGAGGGAGACACAGCCTGGGGGTTCAGAGCAGGCAGAGGGCAGAAATCACTGTATGAAAGATGCTATGGCGGGGGGGAGGGTTGGGGGGGGGAGGGATAGATTGGGAGTCTGGGACTGACATAAACACACTACTATATTTAAGATAGATAACCAACAAGGACCTACTGCATAGCACAGGGAACTCCGCTCAGTACTCTGTAATGACCTAAATGGGAAAAGAATCTGAAAAGGAATAGATACATGTATATGTGTAACTGATTCACTTTGCTGTGCACCTGACACGAACACAACGTGGTTAGTCAACTATACTCCAATATAAAATAAAAATTTGAAAAAAAAGGACCCTCTGGGGGTTCTGTCTCACGGGTAGGGATAACGCCAGTGATAGTGAGTGAGTGAGGGCTGGGGGGATCTGGCCTACACCCTTTATGTACTGATTGGGGGCCGACCCATGCTAAATGGCAAACACGCAGAACAGGCCCCCAGAGGGCCCCCAGAACCCCAGCCATGCAAAAACTCGAGCCCTTGACTTTGCACAAGCCTCTAATTTCCTAACTGGTGCCATCTCACCTTCTTGTTTTATTTTCAAGTTGCTCCACGGAGCAAATGGGGGGAACGCTCTTTTCCCTTTGAGGAAACTGGGACCGTGAGGGGCTCCATCCCTACAGATCACTTCCACCCCCTGTCCCCCCCCAACTCATCTCAGAAGTGAAAATTGGTGGGACCAACATCCCAGCGCGAATTCATCTCAGTTGGGACAGGCAGTAGGAACATGCAGCTCCGCCCCAACCCCATAGACTCTGTGCCCTCAGGAAAAAATACCTACATTCCAACGCAGAGGAGATAATTTGGAAGATTCCAGAAGGCTCCTGATTACAAGCTGATTCCTTCCCCAGCTGGATTCTCGTTCCTAGAAATGCCTTATGTTTGCAGAGCCCTATTTTTTTTTTTAAGAAGCTCGATTCACTTTAAAGGTCTTAGCTAATTAATTTGACATTATTAAATGCTTGCTGTGTTGGAGGCCATAGAGATTATCATAGCAGTGGAGACCCGGGGCCTCACGGTAAGTGTGGATTCCCGAAGCACTGGTGGATACTCACCTCCCGAGAGGCTCTGTGATGTGGGCAGGACCGGAGCCTGGGAATCCCGGACCCTAAGGGATACTCTCGTTCCTCTTGCTAAGGTGGGAAAAGGTTCAGAGGGGGCCCCGTCTAGAAATGTACGCTATACAACGTTGGTGTCATTTCTGGGGCTGTGTGTGTGCAGCGGTGATAAACTCTGCCCCACCGGCCCGAAGCTCAATGGCTGGTGGGGAACCAGGGTGGGACAAACTGTGAGTGCCTTTAGATCATTAGAATTTAGATCATGGCTGCAGGGTCTGCTGTGGATGTGGGTTTCATTCTTGGTAACGAAACAGACATGCTCCCATGTCCCATCTTGAATCTTATCCAGCTTCACTTATGTCCAAAGAAAAGGACACGTCCCTTACCAACCCTATCGTTTTGTCCGGGACAGAGTAGGCTCTTGAGAGGTGGGACTTCTGGTGGGAAAATTGGAAAGTCCCAGAGAAATCAGGATGAACTTGTCACCTGAGTGTCAGGGGCCTGGCTGGGGCGTGTGCCAAGGAAAGCAGCGGCCACACGGGGTGAAGAATCGCTGGAGGGGCCTTCGGACCCTACGTGGCTGGTTGAACCCCAGTTCCCGCCGGTGTGAGCCATGTGACGTCTGTAACTTGTCCCCCTGCTTTGGCCCTAAAAGTGTGTGCCTATGTCTGAGTTCCCTTCACTCCAGCATAGAGGCATATATTCCTCACGCTGACTTCCCCCAATGTGGCTACCAAACCTAAGACTCATGCCTCAATCTGTTTTCCAAAAAATTCTCCTCCAAAGAGTAGGGGAGATTGGAAAACATTGACAGGAAAGCGTGTGACTCGCACTCACCGGATTTCAGCTAATTTGTGTCATCGTCTGTCTCAGATGCCCGGGTGTTCGAAGTCACAGTCAGGATCCTAAACCGCAACGTGACAGAGGGGCTGCTGGGCCGTGGGAGCCCCGAGTTCCAGAACTTCTCCCAGCAGCTACTGAACGAGGTAAAGCCCGGCAGAAGAGCTTTCCGAGTCGGAGCCAGAAACCCGCCCTGCGCCCCCTTTACGCGTGACTTAAAATAGGCTTGGGGACAAACCAACTTTGATTCAAACGGGCTGGACCACTTGACGGCTCGGCTGGGCTTTTTGTCGAACCTTCGGTTTGGGGGACCTGGGGCCTCTGCCCTCCTTCTCTGGCGCAGCTTCACTGAGTAAGCATTTACCAGTGATCAAAGCATCCGTTCCTCCCTGGGGCTGAAGGTGGGCACCAGCATGAGGCTTGGGGGAACCAGGCCAGTAGCAGCTATCATCTATCCTGGGATGCTGAGCTGGAGAAAAAAGCGACTTGCCAACCTGTCAGTAACTGGGAGAGGGCTAGGATTTGGCCCTTCCTGCAAGCTGGTAAGTTAGCTTGTTGCGTGGATGCTGGCAGAGGACACGAGATGCCTGGGTCAGAGACAAAGGACTCCCTCACGCACAGCACAGCAGGCGGCACGAGCATCACGTTGGTGCCAGGTCCCCTGCTGGCCCCCAAGTCCCACGGGGGTGATGCAGAGGGAGCCCGGTGGGTGACCCACATGCAGTGCATCTGTGTCACAGCTGAGGACCCCCATGCACACCTGCCTAAACCTTGCTCCGGAGATACACGTTATCTTTATCACATCAGACGGTGAACAGATCTGCTCTGCTCTGGACGGGGCCATCCTCTCTCTCCCAAGGCTGTTCATCATAGAAACGTCTTGGAAAGATATTCTGAAACAAGAGGGCAGTCCAGGCTTCTACTTGCAGGATGTGTGGACATGGGAGGGATGGAAGGAGGGTCGCCTCTCAATGTTCACTTGCAGAGAGGAGTTGGTTTTTGAACTTTCCTGGAGAATTCTCCCTTGTTTCTAGCAGTAATTCGCCTGTGGGTGCAGGAGTGGTGTAGGAGGAATGTGGGCGAGGCTTGGGTCTCCTTGCTCGGGCACAGGTGGCCCTGATCACCTGGCTGTGCCTATGTTTCCTGGGGATACAGCCCAGTGGGAGGGGGGCAGCTCCGAAGAGCCACGGGATTGCTGCTTTCATCCATCAGTCCATCCAGCCATCTCTCTCACACACACATTATCTTCGCACCGGTTTCCAGGGCACCCAGAGTGGGCCGTGCATCTAGGGCTGCAGGATGGAGATCCGACTGTAATGGTCTCTGAGTCCTTACCAAGACGGAGCAGGCCTGGCCCGCTGTCCCAGGGCTGCAGTGAGCTGGCGGGGCGGGGGGGGAGGTAACTCTGCTGTTCCC